TTATTTTTTATTTCGACATAGCTGTAGGGCAACCTAAACAAATTCTACTTTATTTCTTGAGAAGAACCTAAAACTGCAATGATATACAGGGGGTGACATATAAACTAAGTGTGAACAATGTCAATGTGAATACACTAGTGTTTATATAGAAGAGGCAACACTGCATACTATAATATTTTACAGCGATAGAGCACCTTCCTCTTGCATCACCCTGTAGAATTTAAAGTAAATCCGTTGGTTAGTTTTGATTAGTTAGTGTGCCACCCTGAATCAAACTAAAATTACCTAAACCATGTGGTCTAGCGTTTCTAATGCATCATTGGACACAGTTTTGTTTTTTTTTTTCACATTTTCGTTGGCTCATCGCATCCCAAAACAATATTAATTTTTGTTTCGTTAGTGAATATCATATTTTCTAAAGCTACGTAACAAACGTTTTGGCAAAATCCAATTGTCTCTTGCGACTTCCTCGATTAAACTTTTTTGGGTCATCAGACGCGAATTTACTTGGTATGAACCAAGTAAGTAAGTTAGGTTATTGTTGCATGTATTTAACCAATATTTGTAGGAAAGCCGTAAGATTTTCCTCTGTCCCATAATAATTTTGTATTGTCACGATTTCTCTCACTTATTTTTAATAAAACTTGACGCTATTATCATCTAGATTCCCATGAGCTGTAACAAACGGAAAACTGAAACTGAAAACTGAAAAAGTGACAGGCTAAATAAGCTCGATTCTCGATAAATCGTACGAGATTATTTCATATAGTTCGCTAATAAACTTTCAGGGGGCGGTACTTTATTTTTGGTTATGAACCGAAACTCGTAGTAAAAACTCCTCGCTGTTAAATCGCTGGATGTTGTTGATCGTGGTACACATTCGGGAATTTATGTTAAGCGATCCTCCGGGCTGTTTTAAAAGAACGGATTCTTGTTTGTCATATTGAGAGTGTTATTCCAATCTCGGGTGCATTTTTACGTTTTCGCGGAACAAATGAAAACGGTTTCGTTGTTTATTGGATTTTTCTCACATCTCGACGGAATCACAAGAATATCAGTTCCAACGATTTATAAGCCCGCGTTTGAGGACTCTTCTCGTGTTACGCGCGTCAGCTTTTTTAACAGCTCGTTCGATCAATGCTCCAAAAATGTACTACCGTAATACATGATACAGGGTGTTCACAATACTCCAACGAAACTTTTAATATTCCTTAAGAGAAGCAGAAAGTTCGTACATATGATATTGTGGCGCTTAATTAATTTAATTAATTAAGAAACTAAAATTACATTTTTTGATTGTATTTTTTTACGCAAATCGTTGTGTCATTTTATTTTTTAGAATTATTTCTGCATCTATTTTTGTTAGATAAAAATTGCTATTAAATATACCTGGATTTTTAATTTGTTTCCGGTATAAAGTATGCAAAATTTTCGAGCACAATATGACTATTTACTTTTGAAATGCTGCATAAAATTTAATATTTAAATTTATTTAATATTTAAAGCAAAGGTTTGAACCGATTTTTTTTAACAAATTTTTAATTGGCATGTATTATAAAAAATGTTTTTTTCATTTCTGGTTAAATTCCAATACCTAGAAATTATTTATAATATTTTGTTAAGACAACAATCTGAATTCCCTATGTAGATTGAGCGGTCTGTCTTTGATCGTGGGTAATACAACAAGTTCATGAAAACAGACACCCTGCGCTGATTTTCGCTAGCAAATTCTAAATTATTTAATAACTAATACTGAAAAAAAGTTAGCGGCTGCAAAGATCAAAGACATATTTCTACAGAAAAATATTTAAAATGAGAGTTTAGAGACGCTGTATTTCGAATGCCATTAAAAAGTGATGACTTTTCTCTTTTTTCCGACAACGCTCAAAGTTAATTAGTGTTATTCTTAAATAATTAACATTAATTTTGAGCACGAGCGGTTAGAAGTTGCACAACAGTGAATTCGATCTAATGCAACCAATATCGATTTTGTGTGGTAAATTTTATTTATAGGGAGACTGGTAGTAATGGGTATTCTTTTCTTTGTCCTACATGCTAACACAAATGGGGAGATAAATGTTATAAGAGATTATTTTATACTATTACTCAATTTTTTTCGCTTTTCAGTGTAAATCTTTTGCTAGAGGGTACCATGTGAAATCATTTCAATCCCTTATCGTTCCAATTGCTTGTGGTTTTGATTATTTTTGACGGTAACAATCCCATGTATGTAAACGCGTAAATTGTGCATTTGATGTTACCATTTGTATCACATGATAATATATTTTTGTGCGTTATTTAGAAATCAAAAATACATCGGTATTTTCGTATTCTTATTAAATTTTCCTATAACATTCGAAAAGAGTTAAAACATTAAACATTTCTTGTTTTTTAAATCTACTAATAATATCATGCTAGTGTTGATCAACAGGCCTTTAAAACAAAGGAAAGTATATTTTTTGGGGTAAGTATGGATATCATATATGACATGATTGCTTTCGAAATAAATAATAACTTAGCAAGTTATTGTATAAATAAAATGCAATCTACATAAATAAATTATTTCCAGCAAATTGTTAATTTTATTTTAACATTTGCATGACGTGATAATACATTTTTGCGCGTATTATTTGAAAATCAAAAATACATAAAACATTAAAACTTTTCTGTTTTCATATTTTATATCTACAAATAATTTCAATGTAGTGTTGATCAACAGTCCCTTAAAATAGTAAATTTGCATATTTGCATAGTAAGGTTGCATATATCTGACAAAAAAAGCATATTTTTTGGGGTAAGTATGAATATTGCGCGTGTGGCATATTACACGATTTATGAGTTATGATGTAAATAAGATACAAAAGTATCATTATATAAATAAAGTATTTCCATGTAAACGCAGCAAATTGTTATTTTATCATATGTATGAAGTGATAATATATTTTTAAACGTATTATTTAGAAATCAATAATAAATAAAATATTAAAAATTTCTTGTTTTTATATTTTATATTTACTAATAATTTCGTGCTAGGGTTGATCAACAATCTTTTACGTATTGCATAGATCCGACAAATAGAAGCATATTTTTTGAGGTAAGTATGCATATTGCACGTGTGGGATATTACATGATTGTTTTCTAAATAAAAATACAAATTATTATGTATGACATGATAATATATTTTTAGGCGTATTATTCGGAAATCAAAAATACATCAGAAAGGATTTAAAACATTAAAAATTTCTTTTTTATATATTTTTATACTTTTTTATAATACCATAAAATTTACTTTTAACAAATATTGAAAAAATAATTGTTTGGACATAAAAAAATAATATTAGATAACAGACAACAACATACATTATACATAAATGAGCAAGACAAAGACAACAATCCCCATGACTATTTCCAAGTATTTTCTAGTGTAAAATTTGCCTCATGCCGGCCACATTTCAGTTTAGATCGAGTTCGCTGGCCGTTAAAAACCGCAATTAAAAAATAAGATAAAAACGTAACTTAAAAAAAAATAACGCACCTCTTTGCGAGTGGCGAACTGGAAATCCCGGAAAACCTACCGTGGACGAAAAAAAAAAAAAAAGAAAAACATCGAACACCAAATTACGTGTACCTTGTCGTCGGGACGCCGACACCGAGAGACAAATTCGCACGGGGTCGCGTGCGACGTGATACGCGAGAGAGATGAGGACGTCGCGACGCGCTCCGGCGTCGTCCTGGGTTCGCGCTCGAATGAATCTCCTCTTGGTCGGGGGACCCGGAGAGACCCACGGCGCCGACAAACAGGTGGAAATTGTCGCGCATCTGGACTCTGGCACCGCCGCCGCCCGTCCGCCCGCAGCAGCAGTTACCCTTCGTGATGTTTTGCCAACGATGCCGTTACAGCCTCCCGGATTTTGACCGCCCGCGTGGAGGCATTTCACTCGACCGTTTAGGGATCGATCTTCCACCTACGGATACACAAAACACAGTAATTAAATTTTGCTACACGCGAAACGGGAGCGCGCCGGATGTCAAAAACAACGAACCAGAGTAACTTCAAGAGTTTCGGTTAATTTCGGATAGATAAAAACGCACAGTTGTATAATGTATAACGGAGTTTCCCACCGACATGTTTAGGGACCACCTAGCGCTAATTAAGTTTAGGAAAGACTTTCGTTTAGAGTTCTCCAACGATATGCCGTTTCTACGACATAACCCGGTATTTAACTTTGGTAAATTTTTATGAAGGTCGCCTAACTCGCTTGAGTTTCTCTTTGTGACCCCCAATAAATAGATTCGCACTTCCACAATGACGTTCATCGGTGAGATTCCTGGATTATTACGTAAGGAGTAAATTTAGCAATAAAACAATGTTAGAATATTTATAAATAAGGTTATTGAACATCAAAATAATCACTATCGTCACTGGACTCGTCCCCCAAATTAATTCTGGCCCTAGTTAAAAAACAATTATAAAAAATCCTTGGAATCTACCAAAAGAGCTGCGTATGATAGTTTTCTATGAAATTCAAAAAACAGAGTTAAGGATAGCTGGCGATTAGTTAATTTCGAACTAAACAGAAATAATCGACACAGGCACTGTGTGGTGGCAACTTTATTACCAGGTCACTTTAATAAGTATTTTAGTGGAATTGCAAATAATATATATATATATATATATATATATATATATATATATATATATATATATATATATATATATATATATATATATATATATATATATATATATATATATATATATATATATATATATATATATATATATATATATATATATATATGATGACACTATATTCCGGAATATTATCCGTTCGCTCGTTGAACTCCGACTGGAATCCTGCAGACGTTCCGCCAAAATCTCACTTGGCATCTTCAATGCTCGCGCTCCGAAAACACTTCGAACACAATCTCTTAATGGATAGAAATGTAGAGGAAGTAGCAAATATGGAATACCGATGGGACAGAATAAAAAAATCAGCATGGTATGCTACATCGATATAGCTATTATCGCGGAAACGGAGGACGATCTACAGAGACAACTACACAAATTCTGTCAGGTAAAGCATGACCTTTGCTAAAGAGCCCATAAGATGTAAGCTAGTAGTTCAGGACAAAATCATTGAGCAAGTTTCACGACTGACATATATGGGTATGGATCTGCCTAGTTATCACAACCCTGTGAACAACCTAAGAAGTCAGATCAACAAAGCTACTGCCATAGCGGGTTGCTTAAGGCAGATGATATGGGCGAACCAACACATGCGAAAGGTTAGGATCTATAAGACCTGTATCAGGCCAATCATGACATACGGAATAGAAACCAGAGAAGAAACCAACAAAACGAAAAGCATGCTTCGAGTAGCCGAAATGAAAATGCTCAGAGCTATAGCGAGAAAAACAAGAAGAGACCGAATTAGAAACGCTGAAATCAGGCAACAATGTGGGGTGCAAGACATCCTGGCATGGGGGAGACAAACAATAAGATATTGGTACGCTCACGTGAGAAGAATGGAAGAGAGAAGACTGCCACGCATTGCACTTGAAGGAAAGCCAATATGGAAAAGAGCACCCGAAGACCAGGACAGCTGGCAGTCCACCTTCCAGGAACTAATACAGAGAAACCTACAAAACTACAGACCACGAGATTTTAAATAAGAATAAGAAGAAGAAGAAGAAGACTTTTATTTCTGCAGATTTTTTATTGTCTTTTAAATATATTTGATAAGTGATTTCATGTTCAATTTCCGCAATGAATAAAGCGTTTTGGTGGGCTTATAAAAACTACTTTCCGCACTTGCTACAGTTAGTGTACAGTCAAAAATTGTTGAATATACACTTGCAATTGTTTTACGGCAACACCTACGATTGGGGCAAAATTTAACGAAAAAGCCTGCAGAACTACCCACTTTAATTACACCCTTTTATTTAATTTATTAAATATTTATAAAATACATATATAGCCTTAGATTTATTTGGAATAAGCCAAGCCAAGTAACCTTTATTAACGTTTTGCCTAATACTATTGGTTTTTTTAAAAGCAGCACGAATACATTCACAGAGTGGAGTGGCCGTTAGAACTGAGAAATTCGTGGTCAACGTACAACTTGGCAACAATGGACATGGCATTTACCCCTTTTTCGGGACTGTGGTTAACGACGCTGACGCTTTAGAGTGCACACCCAATCAGTGCATAATACAATATAGAGTTTAATAAATCAATTGACGCCAAGAGAAATCGTAAAAAAATAATTCAGCAAATATTTTTACAATATACAACATCCTAATTAAGCGTTACAACCGAACGTAAACAAAATTAGACGAAACGACCGCACCAAATCATAAAAGGCGTTATAAAAATTTATTTTCGCCACGAATGCAGTCGTTAACACGCCATTTGGGCGACGAGTCCTCCAAAAAACACGTGCAGAACTGACGCGACACATATGCTTTCGAACTCCGGAAGAAACGTATGAGTAAACTCCTCCATTATTTCGACAGCATGTTTATGCATATCGATGAGCTTTTACCGACGCGCTAGCAGCTTTGGCATCCTTGGAGCAAGTAAAATATTGTCGTTGTCTAAGATTATAAGGTTCGTTCCAAGCGCAGTGAGGAATATATCCAAATCCTAAGCTTCGAGCTACTAAGCTCAAATACACGAAATGGGAAAATAAGTACATTTGTTTAATATATATATAATGTTAAATTTGTAATGTTGGTTATGTTTAATAAATTGTATTCTGTGTATATTGTATGTATCAAATCGGATATTTTCTTTGATTATACATTACCTACATATACATACAATAAAAATAAAGCTATATACAGTATTACTCGTAACCTTATGCGGTCTAGCGCGACAACTATGACCGCAACCGGACAGCCCATAATCAGACTGACAATCGCGAAACCTATCCATAACCCAACATTGCCAAATGATCAGTAAATATGTCATGTCAAAATTTACAAAACTAACCAGCAATACAGTTTATGTATATTGTTATTAATCGGGTTTTATTTTAGGATATTATTACTTATTACTAGATTGGATGACAAACAAGAGGTGCTGGTTCCATAGCTGCGCATTCTACAAATTACCGAATGTAATTTTCTAATGTATCCGAATCAAATGTTACTTAAAATTGTCTGCAATTTTTGGCTTTACGCTTATAACACATTGAACCATAAAGACTATAACAAATGAACAGTGATTGTTTATTCAATAGCAACAAAAGTATGAAATAAGCGTATGACAGAATTAATTAATTAAATCTATTATCGCCAATAATTTACCCACAAAAACGAAGGAAACTTTTTAACGAATTTTAGATTTTTTGCAACACACCCTGTATATAATTCAAACAATGTTCGAATTAGAGGTTAGGCCCTGGATCTCCCACATATACTGGTGTATGAATTTTTCAATGGAGAAAATACTTGTTTTCAGGAACCGTGCAGTACGTCGTAATAGGAAATGACGTCATCGCGTGGTGATTTTTGTTCGATTTTTTTCAAATATCTCGAACAGTGTATGTGGTGATAGACGAAAACTGTAAATACGAAAATTGTAGCCCTTAATGCGGCCTATAACATTCTTTAAACCAATTAGCCATATTTTTTACAAATTTTGATTTAAGGCTGATACTTTTCTCCCGAAAATAGTATATTATTTATTTATTTTTATTAAAAACTCGCTCCGCTGCGCGCGACTCGTGTCAAATAAACTCGTGAGTCAAATGCCGTTTTACCGCACTTGTTGCATACTATACTTTTTCTACGACCGTTAGTTTTTGGATATATTTCCGCAAAACAACACAAATACATTCACTGACATGACCGTCAGAAATGACAAACGTGAAAATTCAAAGCTTGGGAAATATCTCCAAAAACATCCAATTGCTCCCAAATCCGTGTGGTAAAATCCCGGAAATGTCCGAAGTGGCTCGGATTTATGGGAAACGAAACTGACGTGGCAAAGTGACGCTTCCCGCACGCTAGGTGGGTGGGTATTTAGGTATTTTACAGACGAGAGTAGAAAAATACAATTTTCAGGGTCTTTTAGATTCTTTTCCATAATTGACAAACCCTGTATATAAGTTATAGTGATGAATGTTCCGCGTCTGGTGGTTAGAGAATTTTGCCGATGGAATTCACAGTTTTGGAGAAAACAATTTTTTTCTGGAAACCAAAATAACCAAAAAAAATCAATTTTTTTTTTAAAAACACTTTGCGTTATTTGAATGTACCCAACTTGTGTAAAACAAATTAGCATCTGAATCACAGTCTTCTAGTTATGCTACACCCTGTACATTTTCAAAAATTGTCAAGAATAAATATTTGAGGATCTTTTGGCATACATTTTTTTTTCAAAAATAGTGATAAAGCCAAGCTTCCTGGCAATGATGTGAACGTAGAAACCACCAATAGATCCATAGCCGACGTTGGCCATATCACGCCAATCGGCAACAATTACAATCAAAGCCTGGTTAGCAAAGGAAACTCAAACATAATGGCGGAGATTACCCTTCAAAGATACAGTGACCCGCGAAGAAACGCATAACCGACAGTCTACTAGCATTAAGCAGACCAAATCTAAAAATTCTCTTAGAGATGTACACCAGACACTGCAGCTTCTAACAGCGTATGCACAAGATTAACCTCAAAAACAATGAGGAATACCGGTTGTGCATGATGAATGAGGAAACGGCAGAGCCCATATTGTGCAGTTGCTCGGTAGTCCTCAAAACTGGGGGCCGAAAACCTCAAACTTAAAGTTGGAACAAAATATTTCCGGACAGTATAGTGGACTTTCTACGAAGACTGAATCTAATGGGAGTGAATACTTGCGTCGCAATGGATCACCGGAGCATAGCAAAAGGCTGGGACATCGACCACACACAATAAATCCTAGTTAATAACAGCAGGGCATGCATGAATATTTTTATCGAAACTTCTGACAATGTTACGTAAGGAACGCAGTCGAATCTAGAATTGGAAGTTTCTGCAGTCGATGTAGTGAAGAAAATTACTATCAAACATTTAAGTGGAAATGTTATTCGATACGAGTGAGGAATTACTAATTACAGAAACTGAGACATCAACAATAATTTCGCTCATATGTTCAAATGGCAATGCAAAACGTGTCAGTTTAAGTTCCCGCTCCTGAAACAGCTCTTGGATCATATGAAAACGTGCGGTGTCGTTGAAAAACACCCGGAGCCTCCGCCGACCGGAAAAAGCAATTAAAAAAACAAGTCACAAACGCGACCCCAAATCGGACAAATCTTTCTGGGTTTGCGACGAATGTCCTCAGGTGTTCGCGTCGTCGGAGCTCCTCGAGGAGCACAAAACTACCCACCAACGACAAAAATCCTTGCAACCCAATAAAAAGCTTAAAGCTGACTTCAGATACGATAAAAATCTAAACTTGTATTTGTGCCTCAAGTGTTTAATTTACGTGAACGACAAGTCCGAGCTCACCGATCACCTGGACAACCACCCGGAGTTCGCTTGCGGGCAGTGTCTGGAGAAGTTTCCAAGCGTGGTCGCTTTGGGGATGCATTCGGCCGAGCACGATGCGAATAACCGCATTACCTGTCCCCTTTGTACGTTCAGTTGCGACAGCAAAAATTCCTTGCTCGGCCATATTCATTTAACGCATTCCAACGGACACGAGTGCGTCGTGTGCTTCAAAACTTTTCCGAGCTCCGGCCACTTGCTCGTTCACCAAGTGCACAAACACAAAGCGCAAACGAAAGAGAGCATCCTGATGGGAGAGCACTTGACGCGTCCGTCGACCAGCGAAAGCAAGATATACTTATGCGATAGCTGCGGCAAAGAGTTCTCATCGAAGTATCGCCTGGAGTGTCATATTAGGGCCACGCACGAGGGTGTCAAGCCTGCCGCTGGTCATTTACCGGGAAAGATACGATGAAGAAACACGAACAAATTCACACGGGTGAGAAGCCGTACTCCTGCGAGTACTGCAGGAATAGGTTCCGCCTGAACGGACCTTTCAAAGTACACCTGAGGATTCACACGGGCGAGAGGCCGTACGTATGTCACTTCTGCAACAAGGGTTTTTATCACGAACCAGTGTCTCAAGCAGCATCGTAACACATGTACACACAGTATATTTGTTTTCTAATGATGAATTAAATAGTCTCGAATGTACGCTGAGCTGTGGGGGTCACTCAAACTCTTTGAGGAGACTTTTTCACCTGTTCGCCACTCTGTAATGCATTGTAAGTTTGAACGGATACTAATTTGTATTTCGGTTTTGTGGCCATAAATACTCATTTCATTGAAATAGAGCGACTCTGTTACTAACAATGGAAATTTTCTGGTCCCTCATGGACCGAATTTAATGTTTCTTCATAATTTTATTTCATGAAGTTCTATACTGTTCTGCTTCGTGTTTACATTGCTAATAGATTTCAGGTATAATGTTTTTACCTTTGTTTTCGTGGTTTGGGTCATTTAATCTCAGGATGAGATTAACAAAACAGGTTAAGTAGGTTAAAGGTTATCGTATTGCCTTTGTTGCTTGAAAACGCGGACTACAAACTACTACAAAAGGGCCAATATCTTCGGTAAAGGTTATTATTAAAAGCTAAGAATTGAATAAAAGAAACAAACGTAGTGGTGTTCAGTCCATGATGAGGACCTATCAAGACCGAAGTTATGCCTATCTTGTATACAGGGTGTTCGTACTCGTTGACTCGTCAGCCTCTTTCTTCTCTTGCAGCGGTTCTTGGTCCCCTTTTATTCATATTATCAGGTTTGATCCTCTTTTACCAAGTCTTCTGTGTATGTGTTGATGAATGCCTTAGCAGATGGACCGTTTCTATTGGGATAAACCTAGATATAAAGCCGTCTTGCTTGATCTGCACTTCCATTTGCTCTTCCGTAGCCAAAATGCGTATCGCGATATTCAGTATTTGAATATGCCTGATGGACCATCACAGTAGCAATGACTTTTTCAAATTTCCTGTAGTACTGTAGTACACTTATCGACTCAAAACGAGAGTAACAATTTTTGAGGATTTGTGATTCTGCTTAAGGCAATCTGGTCTATTTTGCAATAACAGTCTAAATAAATAAAATACAGGGACAATAAAAAAATGTTCTAGGCAAAGTGCCCTCTACTGACAGATTTCTGAAACGTTTTCATTTTGTAACGATCACTTTTTGACAATTTTGACAAAATTTAAATGGGAAAATATTACAATTTGTTACATGATTTACTATATTTATTATATTTAATGTTACTGTTAACGTTATTTTATCGTAAAGTAAACAACCTCAATAAACAATAAATTATCCCTTAAGAATCCGTGCGTAATTCCTTTAAGCATCCTACCAAATGCAAGCTAAAGTCAACAAGATACACAGTGAATCAGGTCGTAGTACACTTTGGATCAACAAATTGAATGCATTGACGTTTCTTCTGTTGCAAAGTAGGACCAACGCTACTGGTTGTGCTAGTGGAAATAGATTTGCCATTTTTGGCAATTTTTTTGGAATACCGGGCGCCAGGTATACCAGCAACCGTTATAATGAGTATTTTTTAATTTTAGCCCTCGACCATGAGATTGATTTATTAAACTACATTATTTCGTTGCAATAACACCCTGTATAACTACGGTCCGACGAAATTCAGATGTTTCCAATTGTCTCGTTTGTCCTTGCCAACCAGAACAAAACGACGAAAGGGGAAATTAGAGGCCGATCGATTGTCTGCGGGTTTCACTCTAGGACCGTAAATACCGAAGATGCCGACATCCACGTGGGGGAAATGCAGTTTCATCCCAGTCCCCGTGTTTCGATAAGTGCCATTAGATCTCCGCCTCTTGGCCGATATTGTTTTTCGATATCCGGTCGCCGCCGTTTAACTTCGTTAAAAACATCTCCACAAAACACATCTATACATCGCGAGCGTTCGGATAACAAGAAAACCCAATTCCCGAAATCGACGCTAACTGACTTTGAAAAACACAATCGCGGATATTACGAGATTGGACCAGACTTCAACCTTACTAAAAATTGGATCTGTATGGATAACGTTGCTCGCTCACATAAAATTTCATTAGGCGAACGAAGGCAAGATACCGTACCGGGAAACAATTTTGGACAATAAATCTTATCAAAATGATAGCATTAACGGCCGCAAACGAGTTTCTTGCTATAGATAGCGACTCGCGAAAAATAAACCGCCTGAACCTAAACTGAAAAATAGATTCTTGAGGTATACACCCGACCGAACAGAATAAAAACAATATAAAATAAGTTTATTCATATTCATGAATATCCATAAACTCCATACCTAACATCATGGAGAAAAAATAAAGAGAGACGCAGTTTGTGGCAACATCTGACAAAACGTTTGTTTAGTTTAGTTTAGAAACTTATTATTAGAAACTTATTAATTCATTGATGATGCAGATTGGGCGAGTTAGCATTTAACCTGACCACCATTGCAACCCAAAAGATATATTTATGACACACTCAACTTTTACCTTCTTTCTGCATATGGCTGAAGTTTGCAAATATTTCAGTGGACCAGTTCGTTACTTATCATAATTAAAAAAATGTATTCCATTGGACATTCTGCGTACGTAATCAAAAAACCCATATCGAATGTTGCTATCAAGAAAATATCCCTTTTTTTAATTGAATGTTAATTTAATTAATCAATCTCGAAGAAATCTAACGTTGTCCTGGAGATTCAACCAAACCACTAAAGAGCTACTTAGGAGAGCTGCAACTACCTTGAAACCGTCGAGAATATATAAAACTACCCCCAATTATAAAATATCCAAAAGTTCGTTATATTTATTTCGCAATCTCAAAAAAATCAGACGATGTGTCAGATGGATTAGGCTCGAAACCTCGAAACGGTCGGGAAGCTATAAAACTACACTCAATAATGAAATAACAAAATATTCGTTTTATTTATTTCGGAATCTCAAAAAAACCTGACGTTGTCCCAGATATTTAATTAAGGGTCCCGTAGGAGAGCTTCAAAATGATGCATTACTCAACCACCTTGAAACAGTCGGGAAGAAATAAAACCACCCCTAATTATGAAATACCCAAATTTCGTCATATTTATTCTCCAAAAAATCAGACGTTGTCCCAGATATTGAATTAGACCATTGAAAAGCCACTTGGGAGAGCTTCAAAATGATGTATTACGTAACCATCTCGAAACGGTTGGGAAGATATACCCCCAATAATGATATACCCCAAAATTTTGAAGCTCTCTTAAGGGGCTCTTTAATGGTTCCCTTACAATATTTCCATGCTTACGTACCCAGCACGTCAACAGGAATATGTTTTTTTTTTAATTATGATAAGTAACGAACTGGTCCACTGTCATACTTGCAAATCCGAATCCAAATCCAAATCTAACTTCAGCCACATCTGCTTAGACTTAATTACTTCGATTGTGGCTCCTTCGAGTAGTTCGTTGCTTATGGTTTGGTTCAGGTTAAGCCAGGACCATCAGCTGACCTATCAGCCTTCCTTTTGAAGCTTATCAGGTCTGTTGTAAATTTAGATCATAGGCCTCTGAGGAATTCCACTGCCGAGATAATTTCTCCATCCAATTTTTGAGGGCAGATTTTGCAATGGGCTTGGCCATCCTATGAAAGCCTTATGACAATCCAAAACTAACTGGCATGTTATTTGGGTCGATTGCATAGATTTTATTGTCGCTCGGCTGTTGGCATGGATCCGAATTGTTTTATTATGAAAATTGTTGGGTCTTCATTTCTCTTACCCATTATTCTAGTGCTGGATTCATATATTCCAACTTCTACTACTTCTTGAGTTTTTAAGCAGTCGGTGTACCAAATTATTTCTGCCTTTCCAGGTAGGCCACTTTTCCAATCTTGGATGGGATTTCAGTCTTGTAATGTTTGACAAAGCAGCATTTGAACAAACTTTGTTTGTTGTGAAATAGTATATTATACAAGTGCGGTAAACGGCATTTGACTCACGAGTTTATTTGACACGAGCGGAGCGCAGCGGAGCGATTGTTTAATAAACGAGTGACTTTAAAAGTTTACCGAACGTGTTGCATATTACACTTTTTCTACGACCGTTAGTTTTTGCGTACATTTTCGCACACGAATACATTCACTGACATGACAGTCAGAATTGACAAACGTCAATATTGAAGGCGTGGGAAATATCTCCGAAAACATCCGAATGCTCCCAAACCAGTGCGGTAAAATCCCGGAAATGACAGGAGTGGCTCAGATCCCTGGAAAACGAAACTCACGTGGTAAAGTGAAAATCTTTTCCTTCTACACTTTTAAAATAAAATACTAAAGATCGAATACGCTATCTGGATTTTGTAAATAAATGATGAAAATTTAATTGAAAAAAGACATTATTAAAACCTGAATGTAAAAAGGCCTCGCAATTTAATTAATAATTTAATTAATTTTAGTATTTTTAAGTCTCCAATTTTAAATATTTCTTTCCGACCTGACTTCTGTCTTTGAATCATTCTTTCGCTCATACTGAAAATGTGTTTCTCTCATTAAATCGAGATTCTCTTGTTCCTAAGTGTTCCCAGTTGAAAATACTAGGCCTAGTAAAGCAGCAGTATTCACTTGTTTTTCTAATAAGAAGTTACAGAAGCTAAGTCTTACTGGTGGGTCAAAAGGTAACAAATTCTAGACCGAATTGTCCTAGAATCAATGTTGACATTAAGGGATGCATTTTTTTAAACTAAAGAACAATGCGATTGCCAGAATGACCTCAAATATTTTCCAAAATCGACAGCATGGATATAGGTCTATAGTTGTACACCTCATTTCTTGGGCCTCATTTTTGAATTGATGCTTTTGCTTTACCAAGGTAGACGGTGTAAACGAAAGCATCAAGATATTGAAAACGCAAAAAAGGACAAAAGAGGAAAGA